ATTTAAAAATTGTCTATGGTTTAGAAAGTCTGGATTAACTATCATAATATTGATGACTTGACACAGAAAGTTAAGTTGCTGCAATGAATATTCTGAGGGAAAGACTGCACTAAGCAGGCACTGGCTGGAGTGTCCTGCCCTGACAAGGAGCGTTGCCTTCCTGATGTGTTTGCATATTTCCAGCACAATTCTGTTTTATTCTATTTTGGTGGCAGCAGTGTATACTTTTCAAGCCTTTTTTCAAGGAAAGACATTTTTTCTCTAGGTGTTTTATTTCCAACAAAACATCTTTTGTTCTCACTCACCTACATTCCCCTAGCAGCAAGGCCCACACAGATAATCTTATTGCGTAGTGATACAAACCAGACACATGAATATTTCAGAGTTCATATTTTCTCCAGGGTTGGTAGACTTAGCCTCTTCCCATCCCAATTCTTTTGAATGTCTGGTTGTTCTTCCTCCACCAAAGCCCCCTGTTGGGGCCGGGCTGGAATGTGTCCTGGTACCTGGCATGGCACCATGATGGCATTGACTTTCTGACCTATCTTCCGACACATTATGCCACTGACACATGAAAAAGCAGAACAGCCATTTATCACACTCTGTTCTAGCCTGAGACACCACAGGGAGTGGAGAGAGCTGTGGTGTCAGAAAGAGCTTGCTTCACACCTGGGCTGCTGTTTTACTCCCGTGGGGATTCTGGGCAGACTATTTCTATTCTCTGGGACTTGTGTTTTCATCTCTATAATTTGCTGGGCCTCATCTATGTCCTCATCTCCAAAATAATAGCATCAAAGCCAGCACTGAGACTTTGGGCTCATTTTGAGATTAAGATAATGCATTTGAAATTCCTTTGGACATCTGAAACTATTACATGGATAGAGGTATTATTATTATTTCCCCTCAGTAATATAAAACATGTAGATGGGCTCAACTTTAGCACTAATGACACCTCAAGGCATGAATAAAGGTAATTCTTCTCCTTTGTCTCTCCCCTAGCACCTTTCTAACAGGAAATGCTTCAGATCTGGCTTAATGAACACTGATGGGCTGGGCAGCCTTCATGAAGGATTTAATAATGGCTGATTGATTTAGTAACAAAGGGAAAATTGCTGCTGTTGTGATGCCAACATGCCAGTTCCCCCTGTCAGGCTGAAAGGAAGGGTTGGGAAGGAGGAAGGAAGTGACCTGCTTGTGATTTAGGTTGCCCTTTGCCCTGATTGTAAACTGTGGGAGAGGACGAGGCACTGTGAACCCCAGGAGAGAAGCACAGGACCAGTAGGTACCCAAAGCCTTTCAGGGCTGGAGGCAGGAGAAGCCCCCCTGCTCTTGATTGCACTGGTAGTAAACAGGAAAAGCGGGTGGCCAAGTCCCCATCTCATGGTTATGTATGACAGCAACTTTGATCTATTTCAAGAGCCTGGTCCGCCTAGACTGGTGTGCCACCTATAAAATCCCTCAACTGGCGCCATTATTTCTTCTTACTCCAGGCTACTCATCTTCCTCTCCGAGTTGATTTCAGATTCAGGCTTTTTCCCTAGTGCTGTTTTAGGAAGCACAGTCAGGAGTCAAGAGCCGTGTAGCTAGGCTAGTCTGTTATCTATGGCCTTTTCCCAGCATTCAAGGGAAGAATAGCCGTGGTGCAGCGCCTACAAATTGGGGTGTCAATCCCACGCAGGAACATGTGGGCTATTTACTGCACTGACACTGTATAAATTGTAACAGTAAGAAATAATTTCAAAAAAAGTAGAATTATGGTGGGATTCCCGAAGAGATACAATACATAACATGCTCCATTTCTTTGGAAGATATGCTACAGGCTTCGGCAAGATCTCTTTTAATAATGCTCTGCTTAGGGATAGCCTGCTGAGCTGCCAGTGGCAGTAATGTGACCTGTCTGACAACAGAGGCCTGGAGTGTCAAAAGGGGTTTTGACCTGCCCTTTGAATGCAGTCAGCTAGGATGTCTCTTATGATTCTTAAACTTACACATTAATATTATTTCTATAAATACCATTTAATTCTTTTTTTGGAGCAGGAGATCAAATTTTAAAACTTGGTGGGATTCACTCTTGAAAACGTTGCCAACCTGCTTTGATTCCATTGCTGATCCTGAGATCCGTCTTGTTTTAGTTCTGTTGGCATAATAAGATGCATATAAATTTCTCTTGACTTAGACACAGTTCTATAGAACCTATTCAAAGTGGGTTACTTAAAACAAATTGCCTCTTATTTTCAGGCCTTCCTGGTGTCATGATTTATTCTTTTCCATGTACAATGCCTCATCCTTCCAAAACTTACTTTAGATTCAAATTTTACTTAATGCTACTTTGGTATTAATGCTATTTGGTATTTTTAAAGGTGACACAAGAATGATCGTAACGAGAAAATTTCTAAGTTGAACTTTTCTAATTTCTAATTTTTATTACTGTGATATTATTATAAATGTCAGGGATTAAAATGAATATTGTTTAAAGGAGGGTCTACATTTTAACCAGAAATATAGCTTTCTTGCTCCAACTTCCCATAGGCTTTTGGTTATAACATTGTGTTAGGTCATTATATTTAAAAAGGAGATAGGCCAACCATGAAGTGACAGATAAGGTATGCAGCCATACATGTTTCAGTTTAAAAAATATTTTTTATTGATTTCAGAGAGGAAGGGAGAGGGGGAGAGAGAGAGAGAGAGAAACATCAATGATAAGAGAGAATTGTTGATTGGCTAACTCCTGCATGCCCCGCAGTGGGGATTGAGCCTGCAACCCCGGGCATGTGCCCTTGATCGGAATCGAACCCGGGACCCTTCAGTCCACAGGCTGACGCTTTATCTACTGAGCCAAACTGGCTAGGACCATATTTCACAGTTTTAAAGACAAATAAGTAATAGAGCTCTACAAAAAATTATTATCTTATATGTTTAGAAAGTATTTTAGGAGCCACATCCTTAGGACTATAAATAGCCTATATACCATCCAGAGATTTAAAAAGAACCTGTTGATCTTTGCCTTTTACAATAGTAATAAGCTATCTAAAGATCATCATTACATTTTAAAGTAAAAGATTAAAACAAACATTCTTCAGTTCTGATTATACCCTGCCAAGTACGTCCAGGCTCACCAGCTAATGAGGGAATGGGAAGAAATTCATCTTGAAATCTTCTGACACCATGCTCTATGCTGCCTTAAAGCTGGGCTCCAAGAGAGATCCTATTCCATTCTGCGGTACTAATTTTTCAGATAAAGAATGAGGCCCAGAGAAAGTGAGAAGCCATCTGATCTTTTGTTGTCAATTATTCCTTCCTTTCTGCAATACTATGCTTTCTCCATTCTCCTCCAAATGTTTTTAGAAGTAAAAATAGAACTATTCCCTCATATGTCCTCACTGTCCCATACTGTGGGTGAACATTTAGTGGAAGTCAGCCTATCACTCCCACTAAATGCCTGTGATTTCACTTCTAATCCATCCACCTCCTTCTAAGGTCAAGATTTCTTTCTGTAACTTTTATTGGACACCTGAAAGTCTGAAGAGAAACACACACACACACACACACACAACTCGAGATGCAGGGTGCTCAAAAATGGAAATGATTAGCACATTCCATAATTTTGTTGCTTCCTCTTAAAGTGCTAGAATTCTTTTTTTAGAATAATTACCGTATCTCATTTTTTTTCTCAGCTCTGGTTGCATTACCTCCTTCACTTTCTTGAGTTTAGGGATCTGTATGTTTTTGTTCCTGGGATCTTCAACCTGGAGCTCTCGAGTTTAGAATCTGCTTCTTCAGGTACTTAATTGCTATTAGATGAGTGTACTACAGGTTCTATTCCAAACTCTTCATTTTCAGCCATCCCCACCTGCATTGTCTTTTTGCATTATATTGTTTCTTCAGGCTCTGAAGCTAGGATCTGTGTGTCATCCTTTACTTTTCCATCATCTTAGTCTCCATATTTAATTAAGTGTCAAATTTTTACAAGTTTACTTCTGAAATACTTCTCAAATTTGGCTTCTAATCGCCATCCTTACCTCCACTGCGTACATCAGTCCTCAGTACTAGTAGTGTCTTTGCACTCTAATCTTGTCCATTTTACAGGAACGTAAAGAGCATTTATTGGATTTTTACAATGTGCCAGACACAGTACTAAGGTGCAAGTCAGAAAAAGTTAGAGACCCAACCCCTAAATTCAGAAGGCCTGCATTATCATAGGCAGTTAAATTTCCCCCTTTGTACTCATTGATGTTCCTTTCTTTCTGTCCATATATCTCTTCTTCTTTCTTTTCTTTAATTTTTTTCAAAATATATCTTATTGATTTTTTACTGAGAGGAAAGGAGAGAGGTAGTTAGAAACATCGATGAGAGAGAAACATCGATCAGCTGCCTCTTGCACACCCCCTACTGGGGATGTGCCCGCAACCAAGGTATATGCCCTTAGCCGGAATCGAACCTGGGACCCTTGAGTCTGCAGGCTGATGCTCTATCCACTGAGCCAAAGTGGTCAGGGCCTTTCTTTTACTTTTATGAAGCAAACTCAATACAAGTAATTAAAATATGCTGACAGTTTTACCCATAGTTGTTCAAATATACTATTCTTGTTTATTGTTGAGACTCCTCAAATCTCATTCAGAAAATTTTCAAATACGCATGTATGAAATGTCCATATTACTGAGAGCATTCCTGAGCTATTTAAAAAGGTACCATGCCTAGTTCTCAGAGTAGTTAAAATGCCATTTTAGAAAATGATAGGAAGGCCTAGAGGAAAAGTAAATGGCTGTGAATATGAAGAGAACTGTAGTATTTCCCAAAACACGATAGTTTGTTTTGGTAGAATACACGCTAAATTCAAACATGTCACCTGAGTGCTGCAAAACAAGTTGCTCTTAAAATAATACTTGTGAACAAAATCATCTCCCTAATATTTCTTAGGTATTTTCAGAGTAGTTTTTAGTGTGCTGAGATCTTTCCACAGTGGTTATCAGGTGTAATGAGGACTTCCCTGTTGCTTATAGGTACACACTGGTGGACATTTTACGTGCCATCTTGCTGTCTTTGGAAGCCATGATTGAAGATCCTGAGCTTCAAGTGAATGGATTTGTTTTGATCATAGACTGGAGTAACTTCACCTTCAAGCAAGCCTCTAAACTGACACCCAGCATGCTGCGATTGGCTATCGAAGGCCTTCAGGTAAAAGCTGACAAATTCTCCACTGTCTTGGTCTCCCATGTTTGACTTACCTAATTTCTTAGAATAGCAAAATGTCTTGCGTAAGGAATAAAAGCAATTTTTAGATAGTTTTCAAGCACAGACATTAAAACACTAACTGGACAAAGGATTTTAGAAGAAAAAGGATGTGGGCCTTTTAATAGGTGAGAATTTGTAATACTTGGCAAAAAGCCCTCACTGTGCCTAAACATAAATATGATAGCTTGAGATTTTTATCTTGATAATCAGAACAAACAACATCTTTTGGATTTTAATTATTAACTCTTTAGGCTTGTTTTGTTTCTTTTTTCTTTTCTGTGTATATTAGTTCATTAGTTAAAGGTTTGCTTCCTTATTTCATTTAAGCTGGTGAATTTGGAATATGATGGCATGCTGCCTAAAAACTGTTGGAAAGCCAACCGACATGTTTTTGATCTCTAAGCTATGGAACCATTGTTTTGAATTACTTTTCTAGACTTAATCGGGGTTTTTGTGTGTGTGCAAGGGCTATCACATAGAATTTACATAGGAATGGCGCCTCTTCCAGTAAATGACATTTAACTGATTGGGAATTATAAAATGGAAAATCAATGATTATTTAGTGGTATATGATAATTTGCTGGTGGCTGATTACTCCCTAAAAACGAGCCACTTCTCCAGGCAGCAGAACCGCTTAAGCCTTAACCTGTTTGAATTCAGGTTAAGTTGAATACAGTTTGAGTTTTGCGTCTGGAGCGACTAAGACACCCTGTCCCTTTTCTCCGCATAGGCCTTTTCCGGTACACGTTTCCTGACTTGCCTTTGGTGAGTCACCCTTGCTCCTGTCTTACCTTGAACAGTACTTTTCTTTTTTAAAACTCCATAGAGACAATTCATAAGGTTGGGAGAGGGCACCGGATAATGCCTATTCGGAAATGGGTAGAATGTGCCCTAAGGCACATGTGGAATGTGCCCTAAGGCACATGTGGAATGTGCCCTGCTGCCTGCAGTGTATAAAGTGGTTTTTATCTTGAAAGAAAATTGGTTACCACCAACCATGTTACTTAACACAGGATGGCAACCTAGCTTTTTAGACTTGTTATCACTGTTTGACCTGCGTCTTCTCTTTGCACCAGCGGTAGAGTAGGCCTTCCGCTGCATGAGGGACTGGGGAACTGCTATCATTCCCATGAAACTTAAAAAAACCATTTCAGAGATAGCCTCAGTGCTTTGCTATTTGCCATCTTACACACTGTATGGAGCCATTTAGTAGTAAGGCGAGAAGTCCTTGCAGGAGAAAAACGGAAAGTTCAGACATGTTCGGGAGCGTCCCTATTGCCCTGGCCACTGTCAGAACTTCTGTAAGTGCAAAGTGCCAGCATGACAGGAGCTATAGTCAGATGGAACCTCTGTGCATGTGCTGGAGAGGGAGACGCCTCACCCTGCAGGGCCTGGGCTGGCTGCCTCCTCTCTGTTCCCCATAAATGTTTCCATCTCCCAGGCCTGAAATTGAGGGAGCAGGGCTCGTGCTTTCTGGTTGTTGGTTGGGAAGCCACTTACAATAAGTGAACTCTTCCTGTGAATAAATGTGACATGTTATTAACCTTTAAACTCAACGTTTTCTTCAGTTCAAATTGATTTTTTTAAATACTCTATCTCTATGTCTGTATGCGTCTCTGTCTCTGTACTATATCTAAAATTATAGTGGTAATTCTGAACAGGATTATAAGATGTGCTAAAAATGTTCCATTGTAACATGCATGATTTCATACTTAGTTTTATACAGAAGTTACATTTTCTGACTTTTCTAATCAAGTCTGTTTTTTTTTGCATTTACCATGTGAGAAATTTTATTGTCTATTGATATATACTTCATGCAGAGCACGGATAAACTATTTTTGAGATTGACATAAGACCATAAAACATTTGAATTATATATAATTCAAATGTTTTATGGTCTTATGTCAATATATATATATATATGTTTTATGGTCTTATGTCAATATATATACACACACACACACACACACACACAATTTTTGGTCACTAAACAAGACTAATACCATCATCAAGACAACCAACACCACCACAACAATAAATAACCTCCAATTAACCCAGTCAGGGAAATTGACAGGTGATAATATTTTTATTTATTTTTCCTTTTTTTGATGTGAGAATATTTTTCATAACTCAGTGATGGTTTATGCCATGTCATAATTCTACTATAATATGTTACTTTTACTTAGGCAATCATAAAATATATTCTAGGGAGTTGAACCCAAAATAAGAAAGGTTAAAGATGTTAGTGCCAGAGAGGAAACTTACTTGAATGAAGTGCATTATTATGAATGGAATGTAATTGTGTTTTGAAGAGGTCCCATCTCTCTTTCTCTTGAGGTTACTGCATAACCTCTCTATCTGCACACACAAATTCCCTTTTCCTGAAGTGAAAGAGTATTTTGAGTGACTTGGCTAGCGATAGCACCTGATACCTTGGATACGGACACATAGACCATTGCTAGAAGATCCACCTGTCATCACAGTACAAGGTCAACAGAGACAATGTGGAAGGGTGAAAATAAAATGGGCTTTAGGGGCAGACAGACCTGGGTTTAGATGACAACTCTGCCACATATCAAATATTTGGTAAATTCCTAAACTTTTTTGAATCTTCATCTATTCATTTATTCAAATTTAAAGTATTATATTAGAAATCATACATCTTGCACCCAGTAGGTGATATCAATGGGCAAAGTAATCATTGTGCATGAGCTAATTTTTTTTAGGTGCCGTATTATTCTGCATATGTGCTGGTTTTCTCACAATTCAGTGACTACCTAGACTGTGAAGACCTAAAGTTAATTGACTTTGGGAATCTGAATGATCTCATATTTTGCTTGTAATGCTCAGATTGTAGATACACAGATTGCATTTTAAAAAATTACTTCACTGTGTGGTTAAATAGCGTCTAGATATGTTCATGTTAGATGCCAAGTAAAATAATTTTTCATGTTGGAAGCCAAGTAAAATTGAAATGGTTTCATCTAGTGAAAATTAATCTTTCTTTTCAGAGAAGCTCCAGGCACAGTGGAAAAGGTGATGACTGTGAAGATATCCTTGGCCCTGAGAGTTGAGCTAGAGTCTGCTAAGTTGACTAGGATAGGAAAAGCATTTTGGGCAGGGAAACTTTTGGGAAGTGCTTTTGAAGGAACACAGGGCTACAAGGGATTGAAAGTACATGATAAATCTGTTTTGATCTGGTTAGAGTGAGGAATAAATTGAGGTGAATGACCAGAAATGACTGGGAAAAGCACGCGGAGCCTTGCTCCATGGATAGAGGATGGCATGCTATGCGGATTGGCCCGTGCCCTCAGACACGGGGAGATTTGGGGCAAGAAAGTGACTTGGTCACTCCCCTGCTTTAGGAAGATCTTTTGGGTAGAAGAATGGGCTTGTATCAAAAGAGGGAGGGGTTAGGTCTCATTTAAGAGCTCCCAACCTGTCCTGGTGGTAATTATATGGATTCCATTTTGTAGGTCAGGAAATGAAACTTCAGAGAGTTGGACACCCACATTTTCTCAACTGACATCAAGGCTTGAGTCCAGGTTGGCTGACTCCAAAGACCAATGCCTTTCCTGAATCTTATTTCAATTGTTTCCAGGGCTGTGCTTAAGAAAAAGTAGATAAGCTCAGTTTATTTTTATAATATATATTTTCTATTGATTTCAGAGAGAAAGGGAGAGGGAGAGAGAGCTAGAATGATGAGAATCATCAATTGGCTGCCGCTTGCAAGCACCCCACTGGGGATCGAGCCTGCAACCCGGGCATATGCCCTGACCGGGAATCGAACCCTGACCTCCTGATTCATAGATCGACGCTCAACCACTGAGCCACCATGGCCAGGTGATAAGCTCAGTTTAGAGCAAGCATGTCAAACTCATGGCCCGCGAGCCTCATGCCTGTTTATTTGGTCAATGTTAGCCTTTGAGTTTGACATGGTTGGTTTAGAGTAACTTTCCTGCCCCAAAACTCTAATACAGGTGAAATTTGTTTATTGGGATAAACAAAGCAATGCTAACTGGCCTTGCACTTTCTTTTGACACTAAGTGGCAGAACCATTTCCCCTCTTCATTTTTGTGGAATAAAATATTCAGGCTTCATCAGAAAGAAAAGAGAAAGAGAAAATTGTCCCACTAATTACAAAAAGTTAATTGATTAGGGTAGTTATAGTAACAGGAAGCATCTTAGAAAATCAATACAAGATTAAGTGGATGTAACTCTAAGATATCTGCCTGGGAAGCCAATTAAAACATAAAATGTTTGGAAATATCTGGAAAAGCTTAGACTTTTTGGATTTACAGAGAAATGATGTGCTTTTAATATGTTTTGATCACAGTTGCTCTATGTTTATTTTTTTTTCTTGTAAAATACTACCATCCTTAAAACCCTTTAATAATGAAAAACTCGAACTCTCTTATGAATCCAGGATCTCTTATCTGTGAGTTAAAAAAAATTTATCCGAGCCCTATATATGTATATGTACTGTTATTCTCCCTTAGCTCCGTCCTGCCTGTCTGTGCTTTTGCTTTCACAATCTCACCGGAATCTCCAAACTCTATATGCTGAAAGGTACATAATGTCGTCAAAATGTGGGTCTGTTGGCAAGGGGTTCGGCTGAAACAGAGATTTGAATAGCTCTTTGAATTGCTACATTGAGACTCAGATGTAGGGCCATCACCAAGTGCCCAAATCTGTGCCAGATATTGTAAGGGCCCTTCATAAAACCAGGACTTGTGAGAGAACAAAGAACATGTAATTAATTCACACTACTTAATGGGGTCCTTTCTTTTGACTCAAGGGCTCAGTGTTACAAGCAGCCACCAATCTGCTAGGTCTGAGAGCTCTGGTCATTCATGTGGAAGGCAGAAAGTGCTGCCGCTACAAATTCTGGCTCTGACTGTTCGCAAGCTCAGGCCTACCTAGGGGATCTTGCCAAAAACTGA